CCCTTACACAGTCAGCGAAGATGCAAGACACAGCCACCTTCAGGTACCAGAAGTCACCTGAAAGCGCTCTGAAGTCACTCCTAGAGGGCTCTGCGTTCTCTAGCAGGAGAAGACACAATTTAAGTGCTTGGTGAGCTGGGGGCTTAAAAGGATAGGATAATGTCTGAGTAAGAACTACGGCCTGCTTCAAACTCTGCTTCTTAGCCAGTGGACTTGTTACTCAATAGAAATGAAATCAGTACTGCGATCTCTTAGGAGTGCATCTTTACATCCTCCTCATGGCCTTTTAAGTAGAGCTTTGTAAGAAAACTACCCAAATACATTCCCGTTTCATATATATGCTGTTCTCACACATGATCACTGCCATTAAATGCATTTAGGCACTCTGCAAATAGCTAGAAGGCTGTTTTATTTCCACGCAGGCTCAAGCAATACCGCAGGCTATCTGTAACGTCACCTCTGTCACCAACAGCTCACAGGCTCCCAGGGTGACAATCTCCAGCTCACACAGGTACAGAAGCTGGGAAGCACAACAGCCCTCGCTGTGGATCTGCTCCCATCGTTCCCACCCTACCCCCAGTGCCTACCATCTCCTAGTGCCCAGCGTGCCCTGGCTTCAAGTAATGCTGCTCATACCCCAGAACAGCCTTTTCTTTCCCAAACACCAACAAACTGCTGTGTCCAGGGTCTGGGTGGCTTTCCTGGAAGACTGAACAGACCCAGAGGTGCTTTGGCTCACAGACAGCAATCGCCTGTATCTAACATTTTCCACATCATTAGCTGGTTAGAGCAGAAGAAAAACAGTTACCCACCATGTGCCTTTGCTCTAATGTAAACACTTGGATCTCAATAGCTAACCCAAGTTGTATTGCCTGGCTCTGCTGCTACGCAACATTTCCTCTGTGTTACAGAAATTGCTTTTTACAGTCTTTGCTTTTTCCTTCTTTCACAAGTAACAGTTTACTGTGAAGATGTGCTTTCATTTATGAAGGTTACTCTCCATCCTGTTAAGATTAAGTCTGAATACCGTAAAACCTAAAAAAAGCAGAAGAAATAGGGAAGTGAGATTTGAAATGGTTTCTCAGGAAGCCTGTTGAGATGACAGCCCTGTATAGACTGTTCACTTTGCTGCAGCCTTCAGAGGTTTCCTCGCGTTTGAAGATGTGAATTTCTACCAGGACACTACTCTAAAGGCCTGAGCAGATCTTCCTGAACAGTACTAAAAACAGAGAGCAAAGTCGATGCTGTCTACTTCAGGAAAAGCCAGTCACCTCCTGGAAGGCTGCACTGTCTGAGGAATCTGTTAAAAAGTCACAATTACTGTAATAAGGAAATAGGAAACCTTGCTGCTGTTCTCTACAGAGGAGTTGGAGGTAGTAGAGGAAAATGGACAATCAGGGAAGGAAAAGGAGTCTCAAAGTCAGAGCCTGAGGAAAACCACAAAGGGCTGCAGTAATGGTTGTCTTGTTTGTAGGGGAGGAACCCACACAGACAGTCTGCTGTAGAGGACTGAAGAAAAGGGATGGCTCCCTAAATATGATGATGTTCAGATGTTGTTTGGAAAGGGGCGGAAAAGCCCTACAGCAAGCTTAGAAACAAGATGCCTACATGTAAACACATACCAAAACTCCAGTCAATCTAGATTAAATTAATTGGATAAATCTCTTAGCAAAACAATCATCATTCCCTAGTATGTAAGGGAAAACTCTGCATGTTACACTTGAAGTCCAATATAAATTGCTGTGGATAAACTACAGCCCAAAAATCTTACCAGAACAACATTCCCCAGTACAAAATAACCCAGAAATCCCTATTCAAATGATATTGCAGATATGCATGATGTCAAATAAGGGAACTAAAAGAGAAGATTGTCACATCCTGAACACACTTCTAAAACAGCGCACAAAATCAACTGAGGTGTTGGTACTCCCTGCTGTACACATCATCGGGAGAAAGCACATTTTCTAACAATATTCTTTTTTTTTAAATTTTAAATGAAGATTTCTATGGACTACAGTATTACTCATCACTCTCCTTTTCTTGCACTTGAAGCAGACAATTAATTGCTAGAAATTCTGAAGAAGACTTTCCTTATTATAGCTCTACTTGGCAGTAAAGCTAAGTCAAGACTAGTCCTTTAAATGAAACTCATTCAACACACGGCACATTTACCACTACAGCCTTTGGAGTTCATGAAATCCTTTTCTAAACCTCAAATCTATTAAAACTTAGAAGCCCCAGCTAAAGGGTTTTTTTGGTAGTTAGATGAGGATTAGACTGTACCAAGTCACAGATACACAGCAATCTTAAAGACATTTTCAGTCCAATTTACCATGAAAGTGATCTATGTTTGTAGTGAGAAGAGTCTGAACTACAGAGCTCGGGAGCTGTCATTTGCTAAGTTGTAAATCTGCAGAAATTGCTTCACATTTTCATTAAACTTCAGAAAGGTTTTGGGGCTATGTTAGAGAAGCAACATAATTTTTATATATCAATGAGAGTAACGTCTTTTTTTTCTTTTTCAGACTCAGTTTTGCAACAGTTCTGCTTTCAAACAAGAAAATAATCATACTCCAGACTACACCGATCAGTCATTCCCAGAAGTGAACCACTGAAGCTTCGTGGGTTCCTCTGACTGCTCTCAACAGGTAGGATCTATCAGCTCTCCTTGCACACTTCACACTGAACAGAAAATAAAGCATAAGGTAAGCAAAAAATAGTTCATTTTCAACATCAGAGTTTCTGACAAGCTTCCAGTATTTAAAGCTCCGCAAGTGTTTTTAACTGTCAGAACTTTTAACTTACAGAACGTAAGATAAAATATATTTAAACACAACTTAGATTAAAAATAGCTCTTTATATATAAAGCCAGGAGGAAAAATACACTGACTCCATGATGTATAGGCAAATAATCCCTTGACTTTCTTTAGGGGGTCAGGCTGGACTAGACAGCGTCCTGAGGTTCCTTCCAACCTCAATGAGTTTTTTTCTTTAATAAGAAATCCAGAAACATGATCCAAATTACAAGAGGAGAACCAAACAGCAGAAAATTCAAAGTATTCGCCCAAAGTTTCTTTGGCAGAACAAGAAACTGTCTCATCCCAATTATTCCCAGGTCTTGGGACCATCCCTCTCCTGCCGTAGCACAGGAAATAATCACATAAACTGAAAGCTTTTGGGGAAAAAAGTGGCAACGCTGTGGTCAAAATCCTCCAAAGACCCCTAAGAGCCTCTCAAATTTGCTCTACTTCCGTTGCTTGCACATTGTGAAATAAACACATATGCAACATGCCCATGTTTTGATATGTATTTTTATTTCCCTGCAGTTTTCACTTATCAAGAACAAGTAACAGGGAAAGTTGTCTGAACTAGTGCATAAACAAACATTCTGAAACACCACTACACGTATCTAATTTACAAGAACCGTATAAAAAAAGTCACTAAAACACTACACTACGAAGGTGTCCAACGCTTACAGTCAGACTTTTTCCAACCCGTTACTTGCCTTGTAGCCACAGGAAAACTCTCCAAAATTGAAAAGACAATCTTGCCACAACCCTCCCTCCCCCCCCACCACCTGGGATGGCTCGATATCTAGACATCCAATAAGTAATTATTGCAATGATATATAATGCAATACATACCTGGTAAAATATCCTTTATGTGGTGTGTTACAGTTTTAAAGCCGGTTAAAATATGCAGAGTCTTCAGGATAAAATGTCATCAGTTGAAAATTTTCTCATATCTTGCACAATTTTATATGTGCTAGATGCATAATTTTCCTAGTCAGGTGTTTTTTTTTTTTCCTGTGTAATTATTTTTTATAAACTGGTATTATAAATAGAAATATACATTCAAAATATATGGAAAAGTGAGTTACTACATTAAATTTGCATGTATCGATCCATCCCTTTCCCCTGCACAGTAATAGAAAATACTATTTTGCCTTGAACTTCATATTTGACAGTGAAATGCCACTAAAGTATTTACCAAAAAGTCCATCTAGTCAAATTGTGAAACAAAATGAACCAAGTGAAAACTTTACATTTTCTTTAGAAAAAAATTACAAGAATTTTGTCTCCTAGCTATGAATCTTTAACTTTTTTTTTTTAGACACAAAGTTGGATTTATTTGTACAAGATACAAAATGTAAACATGGCAAAATAAATAGTTAAAACAAGTGATGCAGGATCCCATTTCATGCTCATGATCCCATTAAAGAATTATTTTTTAATCCATTCAGTTGCAAATTCAAGTGCAAAAGCATGATGATGAATATCTACTATTCAAGTAACAGAAATAATATTGATGATACAAATAAACTATTTTACAAGGTAGTGATTTTCCCAATTTTACAAAATTTACATTATATATCGACTTAATACACGATATAATGATAGTCCATTTAGGTCCATTTGAGTTCTCTGTGATCCACAGAGCGCTGCATTTTGCATTCAGTTGGAATAGAAATGACTACACCGTGAGCCCAGGCGGAGACACTGGTCTGAGGTTATGTCACTTCCATGGCTACTGTTGTCTCTGCTATGCCATTTAATCCCAGTCGTTCTGGTTCATGGTTCTCTCTGCAAGAAGAGAAACATTCAAGAGTTAAAGCAGAACGTCAGTACTTCCTTAGGCAGTTTTAATCATTTCTTAGGTGCTCTGTGTGTTTTCACACAGCTGTTACCTGGATCAGGGCGAAACCTTAACACACAGACTAGAAACACATTATTTAGAACTAAATGCTGCCATTTAACAACTGCTTTTACAGCGCAATTCCTTCCACAAGATCATTGTACTTAACTGTAAATTACCAGCCTAAATTATGGCTGAGAGTACTAAAGGCTCCTGCAGGAGCAAAGTCAAGACATACCACGATGACTCAGTATCAATTATTCTGGTAGTGAGAAAAACATGCTTCTAATATAATTTCACCCACACTCCCCCTGATTTCGCCTTAGCCTTAGCACTAGCACAAGAAGTCTGAAATGTTTTTCTAATTTACTATTATTCTCTGTAGAGAAGCCTAAGACCTATTCAGCTAAGGTGGTACCTTTCAAGGCATCTGCTGACATGACTTGAAATATCCCTTTGACTTGAGGGAAAGAAGAACTAAATGCATTAATTATATAAAAGCGTGCTTTAAGGCACGACTGCTAATTTAAAAATACCTTTTCCTCAATGTATGCCGTGACTAAATTATACATGCCATTTTCCATCTCAAAAAGCTCTTTTTAACCTCTCCAGAAGCATTAGGAAATAATGAAATATTTGCCAATATCCATTTTTTTTCCATTTTCTGATTCATAAACAAGTGTGGGATTTTTTTTAAACATCATACGATTCAAAGACTTTAAATGAACCCCAAATATTGTCATTTTCAGAAAACTTAACCAACTACAAGCTCCTGCCACTCCTGAGAAACACCTTGTAAGCATCCTGAAATAACAGTGCTGCTGTTCAATGAGAATAAATGTCTACATACGTAAGGTGCAGGCTGGTTTATATTTTAAGTAAATATATAGTGCCTAGACCCACCTGGATATACAACCAGGTACCTGTCAGCCTGCATCTTACAATATAAATACACAAATTATAGAGAGAACATGTGCAGTTTGACAAAATCTGCCTGAAAGTGCTGCATGAGAAGGGACAAATGAAACAGTTAAAATGAAGCCATTTTAAACGCAATGGGAGTTTACCAGAACTACTGGTGCCTAAAGTCAGTGCAAATTATTTGGGGGTCCATCTGCAAACAGACAATAATGCTTCAGCTCCTGTGGCTTTTTGCAGCCACGGTGAAGATGCCAGCGCTTGGATGCTTTTGTGAGGTGGAAGGAAGTCTCACAGATGGGAGCAATTCTATTTAGTGCAGAGTTGGGCGCACCTATGCAGACATTTACGAAGCACAAACAAAGCTGCCCCACGCTTACCTTGCTATACTGCTGATGGCACTGCTAGGAGTTACCTTTGGCACTCTGTCCATGCTGGCAGCAACCGTGGCAAGTTTTAAGGCTGTTGGCGATGGTGCTGAAGTCCTTGTATTGATATGCACATTGACTGGAGAAACAACGCTGACGTTGTTGAGGTGCACCGCGTTCGTCAGGCAAGAATTGTTCATGGGAAGCGGCTGAGGGCTGCTTGTGCACAACGCTGGAATTAAGTGGTTTGTGGTGGTGTGGCCAACTGTCCTTACGAGCTGTACAGTTGAAATCCCTGGGCTGGATGATAAAGCCATGTTGGTGGAGTACAAAGTTCGAGAGGTTCCTGTTAGAAAACAAGCGTTGTTAATTAAAAAGACGGCATTCC